ATTCTTCAATGAACTGGAACAGATAGTTCTAAAATTCACATGGAACCACAGAAGACCCCAAATACCCAAAGCAATCCTTAGAAGGAAGAATAAAGTGGGGGGGATTACAGTCCCCAACTTCAAGCTCCACTACAAAGTCACAGTAATCAAGACAATTTGGTACTGGAACAAGAACAGACCCATAGACTAATGGAACAGATTAGAGAGCCCAGATATAAATCCAAGCATATATGGTCAATTAATATACAATATAGGACCCATGGATATACAATGGGGAAATGACAGCCTCGTCAACAACTGGTGTTGTCAAAACTGGATAGCTACATGCAAAACTGGATTATTGTCTAACCCCATACACAAAAGTAAACTCGAAATGGATCAACGACCTGAATGTAAGTCATGAAACCATAAAACTCTTAGAAGAAAACATAGGCAAAAATCTCTTGAATATAAACATGAGCAGCTTTTTCCTGAACACATCTCCTCAGGCTAGGGAAAGAAAATAAAAAAAGAACAAATGGGACTACATTAAGCTAAAAGGCTTCTGTACAGCAAAGGACACCATCAGTAGAACAAAAAGGCATCCTACATGGTAGCTGGGCAGAAGTGTGAGGGGTAGAGTGGTAGGAGGTGAGGTCACACAGGAAATGGGAGGCTCAATGAGTTAAGGCTATCAGCTATTGGAACATTCTTGGCTTTAAGTCTGAGAGAGTTAGAAAGCTATTCCAGGGTTTTAAGGGGAACAACACAATGTGACAGATATTTTGGGTATTCCCTAATTGCTACCATGAGTGTACACTGAAGATTGGAGAAGGGGTGGCAAGGGCAGGAGCCGCTACAGAATCACTGCAGTAACACAGGCAAGATACAAGAGCTGAGCGACTGGTATGGGAGGCAAGAATAGGAGTAAGTTATCACTTTCTGCGTAGATTATCAAGGTAGAACTGACAATTTGTTTGCTGGCAGATGGGATGTGGGTTGTCAGTAAAGGAAGACTCAAGTTCTCGGCATGAAAAACTGGAAGGATCATCACTGCAGTAACACAGGCAAGATACAAGAGCTGAGCGACTGGTATGGGAGGCAAGAATAGGAGTAAGTTATCACTTTCTGCGTAGATTATCAAGGTAGAACTGACAATTTGTTTGCTGGCAGATGGGATGTGGGTTGTCAGTAAAGGAAGACTCAAGTTCTCGGCATGAAAAACTGGAAGGATCGGCATGAAAAACTGGAAGGATCAGGTCACCATTAACTAAAATTGGTACCTGGGGGGCCAATTGTTTGCTGGGTACCAGGGCTGAAGTCAAATGTTTGGATTGAACAGCTTAAGATTGGCATGACTATCACATATTCTAGGGAAAAATCCAAGTGAACAAGCAGGTATGAAGCCTGGAGTTCTGGGAAATGTCCAGGCTACAACAATAAATATAGAAGTCTTCAGCATAACCTGGCATTTATATTCATGAGACTGGATGACACTGACAAGAGGAAAAATGAAACTAGAAAAGAAAATAGGACCATGGAGTGATCCCTGAGCATTCCAATGCTAAGAGCTTGGAGGTGAGGTGTTACCCACTAAGGAGACTGAGGAGGATGGTCAGTGAGGCTGAAGGAAAACCGCGGTAGTGTGGTGTCTTGGAAGCGTTTCAAAGAGAAGGGCCTTATCCAATAGACCCACTGCAAAATGTCCATTGATTTTAGCAATGTGAAGGAGGCAGAGTGCTGATGGAGCACTTGTTCTCTGTGAAGCCAGAGAGGTTACCAGCTGAGAGGAAGGAAAGGGAAGACGTGTTTGCGGTTGAGGAGCTGGGGAGGTAGGCAGCTGCTGCCTAGGAAGGAGTAAGAGGCAATGGGTGAGGGCAATGAGAGAAGTAAGGGAAATGAGGAAAGGCCCGGGAAGTGGAACACATATGCAAGGGACTGACCAGGACTGACCAGGGAATTTAAGTTGGAAAGAGAGGAGTAAGGACATGAAGAGAATGGAAGGCAAGTGAAAATCAATGTATTTTAAGTTGCAAAGAGAAAAAAATCAAAAGACTGTTGAAATTAAAGCACTAAAGGAAGTGAGCTGAAAACACAGGAGGTGGTCATTTGAATGCAGGGTACTTAGAATAGAATTATGGGGCTGCATTTACTGGGAATGTTAAGATGTCGGGTATGAGCATGAGTGTGAGAGGCAGAAAGGAGTTTCTGGACCAGATTACAGGAGGCCAAACAACTGAGAGTCCAGACATTGGACTCACAATCTACATGGAAACTGAAATCCTGATGGATTACGTCATGAGGAGTACATGTTTAGAGGAGGAAAAGCACATCAACTTCTTTGAATTTTATTTCTTTCTGTGTGCCGAAGAATTTATAAAATGACTTATGGGACCAGATCACCAAGGTGTACACACTATAGTTTATTTTAATTGATGTATGGGAGAAGCTTTAAGTTGTGCTCATATTCCTCATATTACCAAGCATTTGAATCTCTCTTGTGCCTCTCCTTGTGTGCTCTGGGCAGTATGTTTTATTTTATTGACCAAAATCTCATTTACAGTTCAATTAATGCAGGGGAGAAAACATGGCACATGCTAAGCCCTTCCATTCTTTATTTTAGTCTGCACTGGATGCTGGCAAGCCTGAGCCAATTAATTCAAAAGAGAGAGCAGAGAGGAGAAGAGATTTAGCTCATTCTTATTAAGAGCTGGTCATTCCTCCTGTTCATACAAAATCTGTGGAAACGTTGATACTGAAATAATTGTTTTACATTTCAGGGCCATTTTGAAATTTTAGTATCATTTACCTTACTTTGTGATTTACTATAAATGCCAGTCACAACATTTAAACTCACATACATACATGCAAATACACCTAGAGAGAATGGTTTTACTAGGGACATGCCATATTTTGTTCTCAGAGCTGAATAAGAAGTTTCATCCATGACTTTCCACTTGCTAATAGATATCCTTTCTGATCAGTTAGGCAATTTGCTGCACCACCCTGTTGCTGATAGGCACATATACCTAAATCAATCATATTCCTCAAGTAGAGAACTGTAAATGTGGATATAGAATATGGTGTTTCATATCATCCCACATGGTAGCATCCTTTCAGTATTGTTTGATTTTATTCATACTTCCTTCACTGGAGATTATAACCAACTATACACAATGTGCTATCAATTTTGGTGCAAAATTTCTTACCAATTCCTCTTACAAACTGATATTGTAATATGACTGATCTGTTTTCCCTCTACCAACAACTACATAAAATAAGATTGCTTTGCCTCTCTCCCACATAAAGGGGAAAGATATGATTTGGCATAAGCAACAGTTATGTTTTATTAATGCATATCCACTTAAAACAATATAAGTTGCAGATAAATAAATATACTAAGGCTATATATGTCCTTGAACATTAAAAGATGTTTTCACATTCTATAACAAAATCTTATTTTCAGATGTTTTTTTGTGAGACAGACAGCGACACATAAAAAAAAGAGAAAAGGCATCCTACATATTTGTAAATGACATACCCAACAAGGGGTTAACAACCACAATGTATAAAGAACTCACACACCTCAACAAAGAAAATACAAATAAGCCAATTAAAAAATGGGTGGAGAATATGAACAGACACTTCTCCAAAGAAGAAATTCAGATGGCCAACAGGCACATGAAAAGATGCTCCACATCACCACTTATCAGGGAAATGCAAATAAAAACCACAATTAGACATTATCTCACACCAGTTAGGATAGCCAACATAGAAAAGACTAGGAACAACAAATGCTGGCAAGGATGTGGAGAAAGGGGAACCCTCCTACACTGCTGGTGGGAATGTAAACTAGTTCAACCATTGTGGAAAGCAATATGGAGGTTCCTCAAAAAACTAAAAATAGAAATACCATTTGACCAAGGAATTCCACTCCTAGGAATTTACCCAAAGAAAACAACTTCTCAGATTCAAAAAGACAAATGCACTCCTATGTTTATCACAGCCCTATTTACAATAGTCAAGATATGTAAGCAACCTAAGTGTCTATCAGTAGATGAATGGATAAAGAAGTGGTATATATATACAATGGAATACTATTCAGCCATAAGAAAGAAACAAATCCTACCATTTGCAATAAGATGGATGGAGCTAGAGGGTATTATGCTCAATGAAATAAGCCAGACGGAGAAAGACAAGTATCAAATGATTTCCCTCATTTATGGAGTATAACAATGAAGCAAAACTGAAGGAACAAAAACAGCAGTAGACTCACAGACTCCAAGAAGGGACTAGTGGTTACCAAAGGGGAGAACGTGGAGGAGGGTGGGTAGGAGGGAGGGAGATGGGGATTGAGGGGTATCATGATTGGCACACATGGTGTGGGGCAGATCACGGGGAAGACAGTGTAGCAGAGAAGACAAGTAGTGACTGTGGCATCTTACTACACTGATGGACAGGGATTCAATGGGGTAAGGGGGGGACTTGATAATACGGGTGAATGTAGTAACCACATTGTTTTTTCATGTGAAGCCTTCATAAGAGTGTGTATCAATGATACATTAATAAAAAGAATATATATAACTTCACAATACAAAAACTTGTGCTCTATCAGATACATGAATCCATTGTTTAAATCTAATATCATTGAAAAAAGGCAATTCAAGGAATTTAAATTATATTAAAAAATTTTTAAATAATTATGAAAATCTAATCTATGTCTTGTTAGGTACAAAATTTCTAAAGACAGACGGACTTCTGTTTATTTACATGTACTTTGTACATTTTTACCTGTACCAATGGTAGTCATTAAAATATCAAGCTCTTAGAAAGCATTAAAAGTAGTTGCTTCTGGGAATGGATTGGGGCTGGGGAGGGATTGGGTGAGGGGCTATTCTTTAAAAGCTTATGAGTACTATTTGATCTCACAGTCGCAGATATAAATTACTTAGATATATATACTTTCATACGTGACATAATTATCACTACTTAATATATCCACCATAAGCCAAAGGTAATACCTTGGGGTGAGGAAGGCTGTCGCCCTTGCAGCTTCTCCCGAGAGAGGAGTCCCAGGTAACGGAGAACAACATGCTTGGTTTCATAGTGAAATCCTAGAGGCACAGTAGTAGAGGACGCCATTGAGTTGGCGGACAGAGCTCCAAAAGGTCTACTTACAGATGTGTAAAACCTAAAAACACAAAAGTATTTTTTCAGTTTAAAATTGATTAAATGCCAGTACATTTACCCATGATTCCAATGATTCTACTAAATCCCAAAATATGTATTTCCCAGACTTTTCTTCTCAGTTATTAAAAAAAAAAAAATGTAACTTCAATTTACCTACAAGTAGGAATTTTATATTTTCAGATTTCAGCTCAAAAGCAAATTTCCCTTTCTGTCTGTCTGTAGTGTCACTTCAGTATTA